TTCCCTCATCATGATAATTTATCTTTATATAATTGTTTTAAATTCACTTCATATTTTGAATTTACAATCACAAAAATATAATGTTTATTTGTTTTTTTTATAAAAACAAGCCTTTCAGGCGAGTACGAGGTTTATTTTTTACATAAATATTTTTCAGTTGTAACGTCTTGTAAAAATCAGACATTCTTTTGATGTTCTTTTTCTGTATAAATAAGATATACTCACAAGATTTTTCTTAAATAATATTATATACATTACAGGATAAGATATATTATTTTATTCATATAAATTATGATAGGAAAGGTTCGTGACTAATGGTCACGAACCTTTCCTTGTTTGTAATCCGGCATGGTTTTGATAAACATCATACAAATATAAATTCGCTTATTTCATTTGAAAACAACATCGTTTGTGATACAGTAGGCAATAGAAATTTTTCTTGAAATTTAATAATCATGAAAAGTATCAATATCACTTGCCAAAGGATTTTGATGGGAATTTCGATCATGTTTATAACATGCGCTGCGAATAATAAGCAACCATTATAGAAAGCACTGAAACATTTCAACCCAAATGACTTCATAGTACATATGTTTGTTAACCGCAGCCGTTTACAAACAAGTATAGTGTATGCGGCATCGAGTAAAATATATCACCGCACGAACCTTTCATCACGAACCTTTTCTCAGCATATTTCAGATTCAATAATGTTGTTTATACAGCTTCAAAATGTTTCATTTTTGGCATACTATACTAATGTTTACGCAACTTAGAACATTTCATGTGCTTGGAGTACATATTGCAGTCATAAACCCTTAAAATCAGATAACGAACCTTTCAATTTTAACCCAAACCACATCACAACGTTAAATTCTACATAAATAATAACAAAATTGTGCACACTATGAACATGGTGATAATATGAAAGTATTATATTGTGATATTAATACAAAAATGAACATGTAATGTTGTTTCAATGATAAAAACACTTCACTTGCAATATATGGTTAAAAGGATAACGAACATTTCATACTATCCGGCGACAAACACTAACCCCTTACCATTTTTTATGAGTTATTGTTACTGAGATCTAATTTACAAATTTATAGTCGTGAATTGTTCCAAAATAATACGGCATGAAACAAAATTAAAACAATACAATTAAAGCATCTAAATACACGTTTATTTTTTATAAATTGGACGGCGACAATCACGAACCTGTCATTTTCGTAACTTTAGGTGAATATTATTAAACAATTATTCATGATCAAATGGCGAGTTATTGTGTGTTATTTAAGGTAACATCTACCTTCTTAAACCAGCATAGATTTACAGGCAAATAACCTGCAATAATGAGGATAGACGGTGGCGACAAGTAAAAACTAAGAGTGTAAATTCTAACTGAGAACGGCCGACAAAATGTTTTTTTGTTTTTTTTTTAATAAAGGGATATTTTATTGCATAAATAACAAGGTTAAACACATTTTACACTGGCACCTTTGTAATTAACAAATGCATGTATACATATTTTATCTGATTCCACAAAATATGGGTATATATTTACTTATTCAAAATACCAATGATTGTTTTAAGCGTGGAATTGATTATATTTCCATTCCAGTCCTACGCATAAACCCAAGATTTCCAGTTTTCCCCCAAAATTTCATATCTCTGGCCAGTGATGAGCATTTAATTATAATTACATGGCTTGTCACAGAATCACTGATAGCAGCACCCTAGAATGTTTTATGATCCTATCATGTTTCAAGAATGTATAGTTTTAGCTGGAGGATATAGAGAACATTTTAGATATAAGGAAAACTAAGATTTTCATAGATACATTCAATTTGAAAAAAGTTAAAGACTAAAAAGACTGGATTACATTAAAAAGAATTTTAATCACTTACAACTCACAATGACAGGGATACAGTGTTGGGATATAGTAAAAAATTAATTTTAGAAACAAAAATATTGAATAGGTTTTTTATTTCTAAAATTTCTTTTTACACTATCCCAACACTTGCACTAATGTATAATTACTTTCATGGTAAATGCATATCATGCCTCAGACATTTATATTATTTTTATTTTTTTCTTAAGGAGCAAAATAATGTTTAGTAATAATAATAAAAATAAAGGGTTTAAAGCATTATTGATGCTTATCATTCAATTTGATTGAAAAGTAGCTCTGAAGTGAAAAAAAATTGTAAAAAAAGGTAGCAAAATGTAACCAAAGTAGTATTTTGACTTCCATACAAAATACTAAATCACTTTAACTTTACCAATTGAAAAAGAGCAGATAATAGTAAAAATTTGATGACCTTTAAGTTATTGTTAGGAAACCATAACTGGACACCAAAAGTCACAATATCTGCCAGAGGAGCCAGGACTCAGGACAATGATAATACTCAGAAATATATGAATTTTCACTAAATCCCATGTTCAAAATTTAATGGAGATAATACTAAAATACAGGAGTTATAAATCTATTCGCACCTGATATAAGTGTTCAGAAACATATTTTTAAGTCCAAATTTAATGCGGAAAATTCTGAGTAAAAAAGGATGATGATTCTGAAAATATTGACGCTAGAGTTATGTAGCTTGTCATGTTATTGTTTAAAGTTAGAAGTAAATTCTTTCATAAATAAAGAAGTAAGAGCAAAATATAAATATATAAAAATAATATATAAAGAAGAGCTGTCACAGAACGTGACAAATGCCCCTAAAGGATTCTAGTTATGAACCACCTATAACATGTTAAGTGTGGTGGTAAAAATTGACAAAGTTCGAACCCCAGCTGAGTGACCTTTAAGTTAGAGAAAGAAACCTTGGTCTTGTTCACAACACATTGTCCATCTATGGTGACTTTATATATTTAAAAAAAAAATGAAACTTTCATGTATATGGAAGTTACAGAGCGGACACAACAAACACCATTTATATGTCTTAAGGGCAACACATCATACATTTATGATAATTTCATATGTGAAATAAAACATATTATCCTTTCATGCATATTAGTTTCAGAGCATACACGGCCATCTCTGCCTATTTGTATATTAACATCAAAATTGAAAGTTTGAACCCCCACAGTGACCTTGACATTAGTCGTAAGAAACCGAGCCTTGTTCGCGACACACCATGCATCTATGGTTATTTCATATATGAAAGAAAAAATAAAATCCTTTCATGCATATAATATAGAGAAATACAGAAGTTTCAGAGCGGACAGAACCACCACCTTTTATATTTATATAACATAAAAAATGACAAAGTTTGAACCCCAACAATGACCTTGACCTTAGTCGTAGGAACCCGAGTCTTGTTTGCGACACACCTTATACATCTTTGGTTATTTCATATATGAATAAAATTAAAATCCTTTCATGTATACTGAAGTTTCAGAACGGACAAGACCACCACTGTCTATATGTATAAAGCCGGACGGACTGACAGACGGACGGTTCGATTTTAATATGCCACCCTTCGGGGGCATAATAAACATCTAAGTTCAAAGGGGAAATAATTCTGGAAATATTCATGCTAGAGCTATGAATATTGTCACACATGTATAAGGAACATATATTTTTAAGTTAGAAGTAGATACCTTAAGAAATAAAGAAGTTAGTAAAAAGTAACATAATTATTTTGAGGAAAAAAATGAGTTCATGGGGAAATATTCTGGAAAAATATTGGTGCTTAAGTGAACAACATTGTCACATATGATGTAGTTGTTGGTAAGGTACACATATTTGAAAATTTAGGTCAATCCCTTATGATGAAATGAAGCATAGAGTAAAAAATAACATTATTTTATGGAAAATTATATGTTCAAAGGGAAATTGTTCTGTAAATACTTTTTTTAGTTTAAGACCTTATCGCATGATGTGTATGATGATAAGATATACATGTGTACATACAGATGTATAATGAAAATTAATGACCCTTTGGGCGGGCCAATTTTTATCCCAGGGCTTTGATCGGAATAAACTTGATAGACACTCAGTATAAGATGTTTCATGCCAAATATCTAAGCTCTAGCTCTTTGGATTTTTTAAAAGAAAGGTTTATATATTTTTTTTGGTTGCTATGGCAATCAAAGTTCTGCATGGGATTTTATTCTTTGAACACCTTTGGTAGAGCTTTATGCAAGGTACACTCCTGCAAAGTTTTAACAAATTTGGCTAAGTGGTTTAGGAGTAGAAGTTGTTTAAATGAATTTTTGACGCACGGACATTGTCCTCAGATGAGCTAATAAAAAAGTTAGGGATAAAATATTTACTGCACATCTATAGGCATTAATTTAAAGTATGTACGCTGACGTCCACTTACAAACCAAGGTGAGTAGGACAGCTCTCCATATACTTTATAGTCGAGCTTATAATAAAAATATCACTTACCTTGGTCACTTAGTTAACAGTCTTGCACTTTGCAGTAAAAAAATACAATGTTTTTTTTTTGCTTTTGTTTTTTAGCGTTATTTTTTTTTGGGGGGGGGGGGGGATGAGTAACATGAGTAACAGTGACACTTAACTATGAAAGTTTATTAATTAAGAAGATGAATATCACTTATAAAGGTATATCCCAACATATAATTCATTTAGTAGCTAAAATTTATTAGTGATATTAAGTATATTTACAAATAATTCAATAATTGCTAAAGTTCACAATTCACTTGGGCCGCATACCCAGAGAACAAAACATCGATAAAAAGTGAGTGTATCTTCAGAAATTTGATCCTTCAACGTTAGATAAGAACACAGAGGACCAATTAATGATGACAAGACTCTCAACTCAGTGGACGTGTTAATGGGAGATATACAGTTAATAGTGATTTACTAGCTGATAAGCCCTTACTGAGATTCAGCAGGCTGGAAGGGTTTATGCGTAGGACTGATTCTGCCTGCAGAGTATATTTGTATCGCAGTTTTTGCGCTTGATGCGATTGGATAAAAAATAATTTTGGGTAATCCCCAAAGTTCTGGTTCCCGTTTGCGTATTCGACTGATCGAAATAAGTCAACCGAGTTCAAGCTAAAATCTCTTCCTGATTCACATTTTTGTTTACAATTTATTCTTCCTTGAACGTATTCGTGCAAAAAAAAAGAAATATTTTAAAACCGATATGTAATCCAAAACTCGGAGGAAAAACAGTTCTTGAAAACTAATACAAGAGACTCTTATTTAACACATTTTGACTGTTTTGACATTAGATTTCGCGAGTGAGCTAAAATGTGTATGGATAATTAACAAGGTAATTCAAATGCTATATAGAATTTATTTTTAGAAATTTTATTGTGTAGGAAACTACGAGCTTATAAGTTCCTCGAGTACGTTTCTGTAGCCAACTAGTAATAAACGTTAAAGAAATTAAAGTTTCCTGCTTTAAAGGAAACCACTGGTTGGCCCTGACTGGGTGTGAGCCCCACGCAGAAAGTGCTCAATGCTAGCCCGACACATTTACTACTCAACCACACTGCCACACAAAATATTTTAATTTATAACAAATTTCGCCTTAAATAATCACCCTATCAATATCAATATGAATTTTAATTAATATACATTGATCATGTTTATCATTATTATGTTTATTACTTTGACATTGTAGCTTACCTGACACAAAATTCACTATCAAGACGTTCAAATTCCAATATTATGTCAGCTGTTTTTTTTGTGTCAAAATGCCAAAATCAAAGAAAATAAAGAAAACAAGATCTGTCAATGGAGCCCCCAAGCAGGGCCTAGTAGAGGAACCATGTCCTTTGACTTGCATTAAAGCATGGTTACCATAAAAATAAAGAGTGTTACAAGAGTATAGAAACATAAACAAATATGTTTTCATATTCTCTTTGAGCCCAATTATTTAAAAAAAGCATCCATGAATGAATGAGACACAACCATCAATGTATTATTTTGACATTCAAGTTTTCAAACACTTGACTCAATATTTCAGTGATTTGCATGTGACCTGTTTTCTTAATGTTCCACAGAAGTAAGCCTAGTTAATTCAAAATCCATTCATTGATGACTGGATATAACCATTGATGTACTTTTATGAAATTATAAACCCTATAAGTCCCAGCATGACCTTGATCTCTAAGCTTCAAATTTATCACAAATTGTTTAAACGAAACTTTTATTTAAGCCAAAATATTACAAAATCTGTCACTGAATGACAAAAAAGAGATTGACTGGCCATGACTATCATTGCACTATCATATCATGACTTTTGACCTTCAAGTACATGTATGAACTTCACCATTGGACTGCTGAGCTAAATTTTGTTCATTGCATATCATCTTAATAAGCAGAATATTTATGCATTTTTATTTTAAAGTCCATCCATGAATGTCAAAGCTATGCACACAAGAAAAACAACCAATCTATTCACTATCATCATGTTCACTATATATGTATGACCTTCACCTCTAAACTGGAGACCTGACCCTATGCACAACACACATCACATTTATGCCAAATTATTATTTTTTATTATATTATATTATATTATTTTTTTTTTTTTAACCCTTTACCTCATATATACACGAAACCACGCACTTTCGACCCCCCCCCCCCCTTTTTTAGGCCTCAAATAGTGAAAAAATGTCCTATTTGGGCCCCAAACACATGTTTTCGTTTGAGAAATGTTGCTTAAAAAAATGAGCCCTTTTTTGGCGCCGCCCCCCATCCAAAGGATACATCAGGGGTTTGCCAGAAGGGGAATGTGCCCCCTTCTGTTAGGTGGGGTTTAAAGGGGAGCGGAGTCCCCCTCATCGCCAAGAAAATTTTGGACTTGTGGGAGGCTAAAAATGGCCCCAGGTTGATCACAATGTAACGTGTAACCAACTCTGAAAAGCCTTTGACTCTATCTCAATCCCTTGAGAAGTTGCAGCACTTTGAAATAAATTTTGATTGAAAAAATCGAGGCAAAATAGTGATTTTTGGCAATTTTGAGATGACCCCTCGTTGCCATGGTAACAGGAAATTTAGGACTGAGCATGTTGTCAAAATTTGTGCCAAGTTTGATTAGTATTGAAGCATTTTTCATAGTTTCATAGCAGTTTGAACTTGTAACAGGAGGCTTTTCAGTGAAAACGGCCATTTTTCACAATATGCTCATGGGGGAAAGGGTTAAAGTATATAGACAAAGACCTGATGACGGCTTATTGTCATCCAAGCATTAAATATGTTTAAATTGTATAAATTGTACTCATTGATTTTAGGACTTTGTCAAGATTGTCCAGTTTTCAACTATAAAAAATGAGTTTCAAGGATGAATGCTTTGCTTAATATATATAAATATGCACTTTTCAAAAGTAAATTTAAACAGGCACTGCACTTAAACTTTCATTTCATTTAGGTGCATATTATAGTTGACACCAGCTTTTATCTTTTGAAATTTCATAATTATATTCTCAATAGCAAAGTATTTGTCATTTTCAAAAACAAAACGAAGCGGAAAATTTTCAAATGCAACATTATGTAAAAAAGAGAAGTCTAAAGATCACAATCCCAAAGCAAAAATAAGAACATGTCATGGAACAAAGGATTGTATTCATTCATTAACACTTCAGGAAATGGAGAAAATATTGCATGATCGCTCATGTCTATCTAGATAAAATCATTCTGCTAAACATTTCGAACTTACAACTGTTGAAAGATTGTTTAACAAGACAGAAAAATTTCACTTCCTTGTATGATAGGGAGGTTATTTATTTACTCAGGTAATTGCGTTATCTTAAAAGGGAGATAAGTTCACTGGCATGGAAATCATTAATTTGGGTATAAAATTTGAAAACAAAGAGCCTAGTTCAACATTTCATTGATGGTGTGGGTTTGTTTTGTTTTTGTTGCTGTTTTTTTTTTAAATTAAATATAAGCTTGCCTAGAGGAAATTGAGTGTATGCCTCCATAACATTATATTTCTATTTAAACTTTTTTTATACCAGCTTTAATTTAATATCAATAATTCCGAACTGATCATTTACTTTTTACCATATTATAAAATGTGTGTAAGTGACATGATAAAACAGGTTTCCCTTATACAAAAAACAAATAATAAAATGCTGAATTACCAAATTACAATGTAGTTGAATACTTTTATGCAAGAATAATGCTGATGCACCTTTTTATATGCCCGAAAGAATTTCGGGCATATTATGTTATACCCCCTGGCGTCCGTCTGTCCGTCCGTCCGTCCGTCCGTCCGTCTGTTAGCAATTTGGTTTCCGGAGCATAACTTAAGTTCCATTTGGCCTACAGTATTCAAACTTCATAGGATGATTGTCCATATTGGGTAAAAGAACCCTAATGATTTTGGGGTCACAAGGTCAAAGGTCAAGGTCACTATTGGCTAAATACTGAAAATGGTTTCCGGAGCATAACTTAAGTTCCATTTGACCCACAGTATTCAAACTTCATAGGATGATTGTCCATATTGGGTAGAAGACCCCTATTGATTTTGGGGTCACAAGGTCAAAGGTCAAGGTCACTATTGGCTAAATACTGAAAATGGTTTCCGGAGCATAACTTAAGTTCCATTTGACCCACAGTATTCAAACTTCATAGGATGATTGCCCATATTGGGTAGAAGACCCCTATTGATTTTGGGGTCACAAGGTCAAAGGTCAAGGTCACTATTAGCTTAATACTGAAAATGGTTTCCGGAGCATAACTTAAGTTCCATTTGACCCACAGTATTCAAACTTCATAGGGTGATTGCATATATTAAGTAGAAGACCCCTATTGATTTTGGGGTCACAAGGTCAAAGGTCAAGGTCACTATTAGCTTAATACTGAAAATGGTTTCCGGAGCATAACTTAAGTTCCATTTGGCCCACAGTATTCAAACTTCATAGGGTGATTGCCCATATTGGGTAGAAGACCCCTATTGATTTTGGGGTCACAAGGTTAAAGGTCAAGGTCACTATTAGCTAAATACTGAAAATTGTTTCCGGAGCATAACTTAAGTTCCATTTGGCCTACAGTATTCAAACTTCATAGGATGATTGTCCATATTGGGTAAAAGAACCCTAATGATTTTGGGGTCACAAGGTTAAAGGTCAAGGTCACTATTAGCTAAATACGTAAAATGGTTTCTGAAGCATAACTTAAGTTCCATTTGACCCACAGTATTCAAACTTCATAGGATGATTGTTCATATTGGGTAGAAGACCCCTATTGATTTTGGGGTCACAAGGTCAAAGATCAAGGGATTACTATCACCTTTAAACTGGAAACAGTTTTCGCTCAATAACTCAAGTATTAATCGAACTACAGCTGTAAAATTTTATAGGATTTACAGCTTTATACCCCTGACGTCTTGGTGTCCATCCGTTGTAGCATTTTTACTTACAAGATAACAACTTGATGGTGGTGCTTTCAAAACAGCAACTGTATATATACATGAATGTTCTTCAGCTATAAAGGAGGATTGCTTTTTGAAGGAGGTCATACTGTATTTAATTCCCATGTCTTCCTCACTAAAAAAAGGGGTACTTTCGGGCATATAATGCTCCGCCTAGCGGTGCTCTTGTTGTGCATTAACGTCTGCAAAAAGCACTTAGACTTTTAAGGTACGCTCTGGCTTTAAACACATCCTCATGCTTCTGCAGACATTAAAGCTGCATGCCTCCAGATCAGCGAAAATATTTCAATAAAATCAAACTTGAAAAAAATGTACTAAGATTTTAGGAAAAGTAAAAATATTCAAGGTTCAAGTAAATTATTTACATGTTATATGCGATTAAAGACTGATTTTTCAGTATTTATAACTATATTTCTACTGCATTACTAACGCAGTTCGGAAAGGCTATTTTTTTGTTTGTTGCATATTTTGTCCTCTTTTTTAGTAATTTAAGTGGGTTGTAAGTGCCACTGATAATGTGTTAATTGCTTCCTTTTGGTTATTTCACTAAATAACACTTTTAAACACATTTTCAAAATTTTCATGAAAATTAGCATGAATCTGGAGGCATGCTGCTTTAATGCACACAATGGTGCATTAACCCTCTGTTATAGTTAAGCAAACAAACTTATTAATCAGCATTTGAGAAAAACAATGCTCTGGCATAGCTTTTTCTAGAGTATATTGATGCAATAATATTTTGCTGAAATATATACAAATTGATCAAATTATAGACATGACTTTTTTTGATGAAAATGTATTGCACTTCACTCTTGTTTCTCATCAAAACATTGTCCATATTTTACTTATTAAATGATAACATTAAGGCCTATATTCATTATCTTTTA